GGCTGCTGCTGATGTGGGCAAGTGTGCTCTGTGTGCGGCGCTGCGCTGGCGTGCGACGCGCGCGTGCTGTGTACGTGTGCGTGCTGCGGTCGCGCGCGCGTCTGTGTGTGCTGCGCGCTCGCCGCCGGTGTGTGCTGTGTGCTGTACTCTGTTGTGCGCCCTGTTTGTGCAGCTGGGAGGCGCAGGCTTGGCTGGCAGGGCTGCGCGGTGGGCTGCGGCGCGCTGCGGGTGTTCGTGCGCCTGCCTGGTGATGTGCGGCGGCCGCGCAGCCCGCCCGACCGGGTCGTCGGCGGCCCAGGGCGCGAGCATGCGGTCTGCGCTGCATGTGAGGCTGCTGCGCGGCTGGCGCGTATGTTTTCGTGCGGCGAGGGACGCGCGTATGTGTTCACGCTGCGGGTGCGGGCGGGCGCGGGGGGCGGCGCGGTCTCACCGCGGTCCGACGTCGGTTGGTCTTCGGCGTGGCGAGGGCGGGCGCGCAAAGAGGCCTTGCCGCCATCGCGTTGCCGCGAAGGAAAAAGAATTGGTCAGAGGAGTATCGAGTTTATCATGCGGAGTGTACACACACAATAACGTAACTCTAACTGGCTGCGGTGTTGCGGTACGAGGAGCAAGAACCGTGAGCGTAAATGTACACACAGCGCGGTATGCGGTGCCCTGGCGCGGAGCCGGGCGGTTCTTATTCGCTCTCATGTTTTCACGGCTCCCCGCTCCCCTCCCCGCCCGTTCGCTCCGAGCCCGCCGCAGCTGCCGGCTCCTTCCCGCCCGCGGGGAGGTCCGTGGCCTTTGTCGTCGTGGTGAACTCGCCCTTCGCGGCCGGCGCCGTGCGGGCGTTGGCCTTGACGGCGGCGATAGCCTCGGCCTTGGTGACGCCGTCCACCTTGGTCGCCTGGGGGAAGGCGAACCCCAGCGGCCGCAGCTTGGCCTGGAAGCGCTGCGTCATGAAGAGACGATAGCTCCGCATGCTGTCGTAGTCCGTGGACCGCTCAACCTCGGCCCACCGGTCGGTGCCGCCGCCGCTCCTGCCGCTCAGCGTGTCTGCGACGCTCTCCACCGCCGCCGCGTCGGGCGGCCGTGCGGAGAGCTTGAGCCGCCACGCGACGTGCAAGTCGGGTCGCACAACCAACATAGCGTGCTTCGCGTACTCGAAGGCGAGCTGACCTCCCGACGTCTCTTGCCCCTTGGCGTGCGCAGCCACGCGTGCGACCTGACAGGCGACTCCGCGCGCCTGCAGCGCCGCCCTGAGAGCCTCCGCCGTCGCCGAGGCATCGGCGAGGAGGAGGAGGGTGTAGCGGTCGTTGGCAATGTGCTCGGCGATCGCGGTCCCGTCGGGGAGGAGCAGGTGAGGGAGGCGCGCCCCAGCGCGCAGGACGGGCTGGTAGCCGCACGCCGGGTCGTCCGGCGGCAGGATGGCCTCGCGGGCGACGAGCGGCGAGAAGTTGAGCTTGCCGCCAAACATGATGCCTGCGCCGGCCGAGGGGCGGGGGCGGCTCTCAGACCGCGCCACCTGGAGCGCGAGAGCCGGGCCCGCGGTGCGGCTACCGGACGACGCAAAGTGGTTGGCGGCGTGGAGGCCGGAGCTCTTGTGGTGCCAGATCAGCCGCATCCAGCGAGAGAAGGGCCACCACTCAAAGACAGGCGCCAGCAGGGGCTTCATCGCGGCGGGGCGCGGCACCAGGCCGAGCACGTACATGGCGGTGGAGAGCACCTGTGCGCACGCCGCGCGCTCGACGGGACGCATCGAGGCATGGGGGGCGTCTCTTCTTCTCTCCGTGGCGGCGGCGGCGGCAGCGGCGCACCGCCTGCCGCCGCTCAATGTCGTACGAGTTGAGGAGCGCCTGCGATGCCTCTCCGCGGCACGCCGCGGCCAGCTTCCACGAGAGGTTGAAGGCGTCGGCGTAGGCGGTGTTGCCGCCGAGCCCTCCGAAGGGCGGCCACGAGTGCGCGCAATCGCCGACGAGGAAGGCGCGGCCGTGCGAGAACTGGCGCGCGACGAAGAAGTTCCACCACCAGGGCTTCTCCTGCTTGAGCGTGAAGCGGCTCGTGCCCGTCATCTCCTCGGCCACCCGCGTCGGGCTCTGCTGGAAGAGCTCACCCACTGGGAACGGCATCAGGTTGAAGAGGTCACTCACCGGGTCCACCGGCACGACGAGGCCCAGCCCTCGCCTGTTCACAGCAGCAGGTGTGAAGAGACGCTGTTCACACCTCGGGTCCACCGGCACGACGAGGCCCAAGCCGCGCGCCGCTTGCGCAGCAGCCAGTACTGATGCGCAAAGCCGATGGTGCGCGCGAGCCGGGCGGCCAGGCCGGGGACGACGACCGCGATGCTGCGGCTCTTGTTGAGCCCGAGAAAACCGTCGTACTTTGCGCCGACGAGCTCCGCGACACGCGAGGCGGGGCCGTCGGCGCCGACGACATACTTGCAGCGCACGCGGTAACGCGTCTCCGGGGCGCCGCCTGTGGGGCGCAGCAGCGCGAGGATACACGTGCCCGACTGCTCCTCCTCCTCCACCCCCTCGTGCGCCAGGCTGAGCAGCTCGTGGCCGTACCGGACTTCGTTGGAGGCGCACCGCTCCGCCTGCGCCTTGAGAACTTGCTCCTGGTGCGACTGCATGCAGCGCGTCGGGTGGACGAACCTCGCGCTGGCGCACCCGACGCAGCGGGACTCGGTGATTGCATTCATCCGGCTCGGGTCCGCCTTGAGCGAGGCGGGGCTCGGCCCGAGCGCGCTGCCCCGGCACCGTGCGCTGCCGTCCTCATGGGCGAGGCCCGTCGCCAGGATCGTGCCAAAGGGCGCGTGCTGCGGCCAGGCACGCTGCACGCGCAGCTCCTCGAGCAGGTCGGGGTCGAGGACCTTGGACAAGATGTCCATCGTCGCCGGGTTGCAGAAGAGAAAGCGCGCGTCTGTGACTGGCTCCTCGCGCCTCTCGACGAGCAGCGTGCGCACGCCCGCCCGGCCGAGCAGCGAAGCGACGCTCAGGCCAGAGATGCTGCCGCCGCATACAAGCACGTCCACCTCGAGGAGCGGCAACCCCTCGTCGGAGCCGCCCGCCGCGGCTGCCTCCTCGCCCTCCTCTCCGGAGGGCGGCGGTGGCGCTCCAAAGTCGAGGAGAGGCAGCGAGCGGAGAGGCAGCGAGGTCGTCTCGTAGACGGCCATTGCCGCGGAGAAAAACATGAGCCACACGGCGGCGGCGACGGCGCAGAGCGCACTCCCGACGCCCTGCAGCGCGACCACGCCGCCGCCGGCGTTCATCCCCGCCACGCGCAGCGCTGCCCCCACCGCCGTGTGCGCCGCGGCGAGCAGCACGTAGTTGCTCGGGTGGGTCGCCCGCAGCCAGGTGCGCGGGTCGAGCCCGACACGCTGCCCGGCGGCGTGTCGCCGCTGGCCGAGCACGGCGAGGAGGAGCGCGCCGGCGACCGAGCCGCCCGCTCCGCCCGTCGCCGCGTACCCCGCCGCGTCCAGCATCCGCTCGCTCGCGCCGCCGCCCGCTCCCACCCGCGCCGCGACGGCGGCCGCCTCGACCGCGCATCCGGCGGCGAGGAGGAGGAAGGCGACCAGCTGGCAGACACTCCCAAAGGGCGGTCGCGGCGAGAGGCGGACGGCGGCGGCGAGCAGGCCGTATGCCGCGGATCCGACAAAGAGGGCCGCCGCGTGCGACCCAAATATTCCCCTCTGGCGGCTGCCCTCGAGCGGCGCGTCCGCCGGCACGCCGCGGTCTGCGAGGGAGAGGAGGATCGCCGAGAGGGCGGAGGAGAGGAGGAGCGCCCACCCGGCGGCGAAGGCGGCCGCGAAGGCGCGCGGCTCTGCGATCAGGTGCGAGGTGAGCGGGTACCGCTCCTCGAGCAGCGCGTCGACATTCTTATCGATGCGCGCCATCCGCAGCGTCAGCACGGCGGCGGCGAGGAGGACCGCGCTACCACCCGCCCCATCGAGGCCGCGCAAGTCGACCGGGTCGTCGCAAAAGTAGCTCAGCCCGATCGCGGCGTCGCACGCGAGGCCGAGCCCGAAGATCAGGAAGGCGCCAAAGTTGTGGTTTGGCGCAGACAGCCAGGGAGGGCGCATCTCCTCGTACGCCTTTGCGAGGAGAGAGGCGATTCCGGGCAGCCAGCAGGCGACGGCGACCGCCTCGCACACGGCGAGGCTCGTCCGGTCCACGCCGGCGTCCGACAGCGCCGCCGCCGCCGTCCCGATCCGCAGCTGGACGCCAATCACGAGAAGCGATGCGCCCCACATGTACGGGATCGGGCCCTGCACAAAGGTGGCGCACGCCCACATGACCAGGCCGCTACCCACCAGCAGGAGGCCAAACAGAGCGCCGCCGCTCGCCTCGGGCTCCCCGACCGCCACACGGCAAGTGAGCGTGATGAGCGCGCCCGCGTACAGGCAGAGCGTGCCGCGGTAGCCGAGCGTGGCGACGAACTCGCACGGGTGATTGAGCGCCGTGAGCCAGCCGGTGGTGACGGTGGTGCCCACCGCGATAAGCGCAAACGGAGCTGCCGGAACCGGCCGGTCCGTGTCTGCAATCTGCCACACCGCCACCGCCCAGCCGGCGAGCGGGGCGAGCCAGAGCGCCTGCCACGCAGAGCAGCGGGAGCGAACCGGCGCTGGCTCAAAGCTGGTCTCGCGGAGGACCTCCTCGAGGCTGACCGGTGATTCGGCGTCGCCCATATATGTGAAGCGTCCACAGAAGAGCCAGGTGCACACAAAGGATTGAGAAGCCGGCGGCACAACGGAGGCCTCTCAGAGAGCCGCGGCACCTTCAGAAAAAGAGAAAGCTGGCCCTCACAGCCTCACACAAGATCTGTGTAGGGCGCAGACGCATGTCACCACATGGCCGGGCGGTGCGCCCCACTATCCAACTCGTCTTGGTTGAGGTCTACATCAAGCGCACCAACTTCCATGCACGCCTTCGCCTCGGTGCCCGCGCCTCCGGCGGACGCGGTCGGATGCAGCGCCTACGTGATCGGCGCCGCGCCTCCTCCTGGCGGCGCGCTCTCCTCCGCCGGCGCGCTCTCCTCCGCCGGCGCGCTCTCCTCCGCCGGCGCGCTCTCCTCCGCCGGCGCGCTCTCCTCCGCCGGCGCGCTCTCCTCCGCCGGCGCGCTCTCCTCCGCCGGCGCGCTCTCCTCCGCCGGCGCGCTCTCCTCCGCCGGCGCGCTCTCCTCCGCCGGCGCGCTCTCCTCCGCCGGCGCGCTCTCTGCCCCACCGTGGGTCTGGCGGCCGCGTGGGCGGCGCCTAGATAAAGGACGACTACCCCACCGGCTACGACGAGATGCTCTTGATCTGATCCTCACGGGGATAGCCCGTCTCCTCCAGATCGGAAGATTGCGGCGACCTCGAGCTGTAGGGCACACGACTACATACGCCCGCACCAGGGGGCGAGGGCCCGGGAACGGACAGGGGCCCGCGGTACCAAACATCGTCGGTGGGTGCCTGGCCGCGCTGCAGGTGCACAGCGCGCGCCGAGGGGGGGCACTTGCAAGTCTGCGCAGGGGATCACCCCGCCGCTCCCGGAGAGGCCCGCTCGCATGGCCGTCCCGCATGGCCCGCCGACGTGGCCGCCTCGGAGCTAGCTCCTTGTCGGCTGGTCGGCATGGCTAGCGGAGTGGCTAGCGACATAAGGGGCAGGGAGACGGTGCCCTGCGTGAGGCGAGATCGGGAAATTCGGTGGAAGCCCAGGGACACGCGAACTCGCCAGCCTGACTCAGGCACCTCTCCCCAGAGGGGCGGGGGAGCGGGGTTATACCGAGCCAACCGGGCGTAGCGCGCATGGCCATCTGCCGTGGCCGCCTCGGAGCATGGCCACACCAATGGCTAGCTCCTTGGCGGCTGGGCAGCTTGGCTAGCGGGTAGCTCGGAGGTGTAACGAATTGACACCGGTCGGGGGGAAACCTCTTGAGATTAATTCTAGCCGCCTCGAGAGAGGTTGCCTGGCTTAGTGGGGCGGATCCCTGCGAACCAGTGCACCAGGGTTCTCTTCCCTGGGGCCGTAGTTCTCGGACTAGCACACAGTCCGACCCTGTCCTTGGTGTGTTTTCCACGCTAAGATCTACGTCTGAGCAGCGAGCCGAGCGCGACGCGGCGCTGCTGCGGGCGGTGCGCCGCGCGGGCAAGCGCGACTCACGCACGCAGTTCAAACGCGGCGTGCAGGCTGAGCGCAGCGTGAGCAAGACCGCGCAGAGCGCCAAACGCTCGGGCAAGAAGGCGCGCAAGGCTCAAGAGCGGGCGAAGCGGCGCGCCGTTGCTGCCCGCACGCCCCACACCGCCGCACACCAGGGCCGCGGCGGTGAGAGGGGGGGGCGCGGCGGCAAGGGCAGGGGACGCGGTCGCGGCAGCGACGGGGGGGGCGGCCGGGGCAGCGGCAGCCACCACTCGTCGCAACAGCCACAGCAGCAGCAGCAGCAGAGGTATCAGCAGCAGCAGCAGCAGCAGCAACAGCAGCAACAGCAGCAGCAGCAGCGCACGTGGCAGGGGCCGCCGCCTCAGCGAGGTTACCCCGGGCCGCCACGCCATCCGCAGTGGCAGGGGTCGCAGCCGCCACAGTGGCGCCAGTGGCAGCACCCGCCGTCACACCGCATGCCCCACCGTGGGTCTGGCGGCCGCGTGGGCGGCGCCTAGATAAAGGACGACTACCCCACCGGCTACGACGAGATGCTCTTGATCTGATCCTCACGGGGATAGCCCGTCTCCTCCAGATCGGAAGATTGCGGCGACCTCGAGCTGTAGGGCACACGACTACATACGCCCGCACCAGGGGGCGAGGGCCCGGGACCGGACAGGGGCCCGCGGTACCAAACATCGTCGGTGGGTGCCTGGCCGCGCTGCAGGTGCACAGCGCGCGCCGAGGGGGGGCACTTGCTAGTCTGCGCAGGGGATCACCCCGCCGCTCCCGGGGAGGCCTGCTCGCATGGCCGTCCCGCATGGCCCGCCGACGTGGCCGCCTCGGAGCTAGCTCCTTGTCGGCTGGTCGGCATGGCTAGCGGAGTGGCTAGCGACATAGGGGGCAGGGAGACGGTGCCCTGCGTGAGGCGAGATCGGGAAATTCGGTGGAAGCCCAGGGACACGCGAACTCGCCAGCCTGACTCAGGCACCTCTCCCCAGAGGGGCGGGGGAGCGGGGTTATACCGAGCCAACCGGGCGTAGCGCGCATGGCCATCTGCCGTGGCCGCCTCGGAGCATGGCCACACCAATGGCTAGCTCCTTGGCGGCTGGGCAGCTTGGCTAGCGGGTAGCTCGGAGGTGTAACGAATTGACACCGGTCGGGGGGAAACCTCTTGAGAT